TGTTTGAGGAGAAACTCCGCTGGGGATCGGGAGTTTAGAATCTTAGCTCTGATGGCGATCTTGAAATTTGACTCCACTGGGGATATGTAATTCAAGGTTTTAACTTTGTTGAGGATCTGAATGACATACTGTAGGGGATTTCTTCTGGAATAGCCTAAAGACATTTTCTCGTACCTTCAAACTATCAGTAACTACCCTTTCTCCTTTCATTTTATTTGTAGGCAGTGATTTCATTCAAATGCATATGCTCATTTAACAAATCATTGGACGTTTTCAAATAAAACATAAGTGTAAAAAATAAAGAAAAGACAAGCAAATTACTGCACTTTGAAGCATCTTTGTATTAACTTTGTAAATATTTTTGTACAAGGGAGACAGTCATCCTAGTAAGAGAATGTTGTCGTAAAATTGAGAAAAAATTTATACAAAGAAAGATGGCTATGTGTGACAATTCCATGGGGTTCCCATTCTGCTATAGCCTTCACAACTCTGAGTATCTTGTCTATTCGTTGCTTCGTCCGCAGATGATTAGATAGATCAGAAGCTTGGAGCTTATCAGTGAAGAGATTGTCCTTAAAGTGATCCAACGAGACATAGTCATACGCTTTAATTCCCTAACTTTTTCCTGGACTGCCCTTTCGGGTTTTCGATCCACCGGGAAACCCTTTTTTGCCCAAGTCGCCCTTTCGGGTTTTCAACTTGCCGGGTGTACTGCTTTTTTTTAATTTATCCTTAATTTTTGCCTGAATCGCCCTTTCGGGTTTTTGATTCACCGGGATGCCCATTTTTGCCCAAGTCGCCTTTTCAGGTTTTCGACTTGTGGGGTTATTTATGCGTAATATCTTTTGACTATGTCTGTGTTCGCAGGGTGCGGCAGGTCGTCGCCGTCCATGGTGGTTAGAATCATAGCCCCACCAGAAAAGATGTTTTTGATCACAAATGGTCCTTCGTAAGTAGGAGTCCACTTGCCCCTGGGATCACTTTGCGGAAAGATGATCTGCTTGATTACAAGATCTCCAACTTGATATACCTGACGTCTGACTTTCTTGTTGAAAGCCTTGATCATCCGTTTTTGATACGTCTGACCATGACAAACAGCAGTAAGCCGTTTCTCGTCGATCAAATTAAGTTGATCAAGCCGGGTTTGAATCTAATCGTCTTCACTTAAACCAAAATCCTTCATAATCCTCAAGGAAGGAATCTGAACTTCCATAGGTAAAACAACCTCCATGCCATATACCAAAGAAAAAGGGGTTGCCCCAGTTGAAGTACGCGCCGTGGTACGATATCCATGCAGAGTAAATGGTAACATCTCATGCTAGTCCTTGTATGTGACTGTCATCTTTTGAGTGATCTTCTTGATATTTTTGTTCACAGCTTCAACAACACCGTTCATCTTCGGCCGATAGGGAGATGAATTGTGATGTTGAATCTTGAACTGCTCGCACAGAGCGGTGATCATAGTGTTATTCAGGTTTGTACCGTTGTCCATGATGATCCTGTCGGGGGTACCATACCGGCATATAAGGTTCTGCTTAATGAAGCGGGCAACCACATTCTTTGTAATGGAGGAGAAGGAAGCCGCTTCAACCCACTTGGTAAAATAATCAATAGCCACCAAGATGAAGCGATGTCCATTGGATGCCGTAGGCTTGATCTCTCCAATCATGTCGATTCCCCACATCGCGGATGGCCAAGGAGCTGTTAGAACGTTGAGAGGAACTGGAGGAATATGTACCTTGTCAGCATAGACTTGGCATTTGTGACAAGTACGGGAATATTGATGACAGTCAGCTTCCATGGTAGACCAGTAGTAGCCTGCCCTTAGAATCTTCTTAGCCATCGTATGTCCGCTTAAGTGGGTGCCAAATGTGCCGCTATGTATTTCAGTCATGATCAACTCAGCTTCAACTTTGTCCACACAATGAAGTAGAACACAATCATGGTTGCGCTTATATAGGATACCATTGATCAGAAAGAACTTGGCCGCAAACCTCCTTAAGAACTTTTTGTCGTTGACTGAAGCTCCTTCAGGGTATTCTCGAGTCTTGAGATACCTTTTGATTTCATGAAACCAGGGTTGTTCCACTACTTCTTCGGTATTAATCTCATGACAGTGTGCAGGTTCGTCCATTCGCTCGATGGTGATTTGGGGAGCCTCATTATCCCAGTTGAGTTTAAACATGGAAGACATTGTAGCCAGAGCATATGCTAGCTAATTTTCTTCTCGTGGGAAGTGCTCAAAGGTAATCTGCTCGAAATGTGGTAACAATGTCAGGACATGTTCTTTGTATGGGATAAGATTAGGATGTTTAGTGTCCCATTCTCCTTTGATTTGACTGATAACCAAAGCTGAGTCCCCAAACACAATCAGATATTTGATTCCCAAGTCAATATCAGCCTTGAGACCAAAGATACAAGCTTCATACTCGGCCATGTTGTTGGTACAGCTGAAGCAGAGTCTAGCAGTGAAAGGTGTATGGCAACCTTCTGGAGAGATAAGTATCGCGACGATACCGTTGCCAAGTGCATTTGAAGCACAATCAAAGTACAGGGTCCATCGGGATCCTTGTTCAGGTCCGTCATACGGTCCGTTATCTTCAATGTTGTCCAATGTCATAATGTCCTCGTCAGGGAAGTCGAACCTCATAGATTGGTAATCTTCGACGGCTTGATGAGCTAGATGGTCAGCTAGTACACTCCCCTTTATAGCTTTCTGGGTTGTGTACTGGATATCATACTCAGTCAGGATCATCTGCCATCTAGCGATCCTTCTGGATAAAGCAGGCTTCTCAAAGATGTACTTGATCGGATCCATCTTGGAGATCAGCAAAGTGGTATGTGTCAACATATACTGCCTCAGCTGGCGAGCAGCCTATACCAAAGCGCATAAAGTTTTCTCGAGCAGTGAGTAGCGAGTCTCACAGTTGGTAAACTTTTTGCTAAGGTAATAAATGGCATGCTCTTTTCGGCCAGACTCGTCATGTTGGCCTAGTACTCACCCCATTGAGTTATCCAAAATAGTCATATACATGATTAAAGGTCTTCCTTCGACGGGTGGCATCAAGATAGGAGGTTCCAGCAAATACTCCTTGATCTTATCAAAAGCAACTTGACAATCATTATTCCATTCAACCACCTGATCTTTCTTCAACAACTTGAAGATTGGCTCACAGGTAGATGTTAGGTGAGAGATGAACCTTGCAATATTGTTTAAGCGTCCCAAGAAACCTCTAACCTCCTTCTCGGTGCGGGGGGGGGGGGGGGGGGGGGGGGGGGGAGGGGGGCAGGCATTTCTTATATAGCTTTGAATTTAGCAGGATCAACCTCAATGCCTTTGTTGCTGACAATGAATCCCAAAAGTTTACCGGACCTAACTCCGAAAGTGCACTTGCTAGGGTTCAGTCTGAGCTTATATTCCTTTAATCTGACAAACAGCTTTTGCAGATGGTCGAGGTGTTCTTCTTTTGTCTGTGAGCGGGCTATCATGTCGTCTACGTAGATTTCGATTTCATGATGTATCATGTCATGAAACACAGCTACCATGGCTCGCTGATAGGTTGCCCCGACATTCTTCAGTCCGAATGGCATCACTTTATAACAGAAGGTACCCCACTGCGTAACAAAAGTAGTCTTCTCCATGTCTTCGGGGGCCATTTTGATCTGGTTGTATCCCGAGAATCCATCCATGAAGGAAAATACATTGTGTTGAGCTGTGTTGTCAACCAAGATGTCAATGTGTGGTAGTGGAAAATCATCTTTAGGGCTAGCCCTATTTAATTCTCTATAGTCCACACACATTCTGACTTTGCCGTCCTTCTTAGGCACGGGCACAATGTTAGCAACCCATTGCGGATAGGAAGTAACAACAAGAAAGCCAACATTGAACTGCTTCATCACCTCAGCTTTTATCTTTTCAGACATGTCGGGCCTCATTCAGCGGACTTTCTGTTTGATCAGTGGACAGTCTTCTCTTGTAGGGAGACGGTGAACCACAATATTAGTATCCAGTCCCTGCATATCTTCATAGGACCAGGCAAAGATTTCAACAAACTCATTCAATAGCTGAACTGAGCGTTTTTTGACACTTGGCTCCAGGTTGGCACCCACTTTAACCTCTTTCTTGTCTTCCTCTGTTCCCAAATTGATAGTCTCTAACAACTCTTCATGGGGCAGAATAGCCCTTTCTTCTTGTTGCAAAAGTCTAGCTAACTCTCCAGGCACTTCACAGTCTTCATCATCTTCGTACTCAGCATGATTGACCAAATCTTCAGAGTCATTGAAGGCCAAAGCAGAATAGTCACCCATGGAATCCGGAGTGGATGGGTACCTGCATTTTGTGAGTGTGGGTGTGTGTAAGGGATAGCCACCTTTAAACAAAATGAAATGTAAAAAGAAATAAAATGAACACAACAGTTTATAGATGAAAACGTCCATGATTCATTAAAAGATGGCATATGAAAATGAAGAATCAAAACCCTTACAAATGGACCTACATTCCCCGGGTAAGGCATAAGGCAAAAAAGAGTGTACGAATTATTTAAAAGTTATTACAGACCAAATACGAAATGTTCAAAAGATAAATTACTGATTGATGAAAGTAATGGGAACGAAGTCTTTCGCCTCTCAGTTGTTTAGTCCTCCTTCAATGGTTGGAAAGATCCAATCTTCAAAGTTGCCTTCTTCATCATCATCTTCTAAAGCATGAACTCCATGGTGAGTGATTTTTAAGGGTGGTCCTCCAGCCCGGGAGTGACACACAGCTTTCTGGCTAGCAGCAGTGAAACCCAATCCGAACTTGTCTGTCTTGTGAGGAAAATCTGGCAGTTGCCCCCACACTGTACTTCCTCCTTCTTTGATTACAGCCTCCGCATCTTTAAGGGATGACATCTGGGACACATACTTGGTAATAATAGGCACATCAGTCATTGTCTTTGCTACCGTGACCTCAGGAGAAACCTCCTCAAAGTGTTGGAAAGGCGTTTCTATGAATTCACCATCTAACTCCACGTAGCGGTAAATCTTTTAACTTTATCAAAAGGTCCATGAGCAAGACTAATGAGAACATCTTTATCTGGCCCATGAATGTTGTCAAGATTGTTGCGAATCTATACATGATACAACATTCAATTAGTCTTGTTATTATTAAAAACCAATTCAATAAAACATCTATTTTTGTATGAAAACTCACACGATTGCTGAACCAATGCGCAAACTCCTTATGAACCTTCTTGTCTATCTCAGTAGCACTTCTTTGACTGCGCCTCATTTGGTTTTGAGTAAAACTTCGGAACTGCCTATTTGATTATTCGATATTAGATGTAAAAAAATATTAATAGTATAGTGAAACTACTTAAATGTAATAAAACTACATACTTTAGATAGTCGTCAACTATTGGACAGTTTGTTAAAACGTGTCTATGAGCCTGCAATTTTTCAGTTGGTGTTAGGGTGTAATAAGAAGATCCACCCACAGGTTTTCCAACTCTAAGAAATAATTCAGCTACACGTGAAGCAGTTTGGATATCATCAATAGGGTCGTCATCTACACGTCCAGGTTGATTCCATCTAGTCTCAATATTTTCTAGATATCTTGAACAAAATGTAAGAATCTCTTCAAAACGGTATCCTTCTGCAATAGACCCTTCTGGTTTTGCCTTATTACGTACATATGATTTAAGTTTTCCCAAGTACCTATCATTGAACCACAATAACACTAGTTAAAAAAACTTTCTACTTTCTAATTAAGTTAGTAACATTAGAACAAAATCACATAGTTTACCTTTCAACAGGACACATCCATCGATAATGAACATGACCTCCAAGTTTAACTTCTTCAACAAGGTGAACAACCAAGTGGACCATAACCGTGAAGAACGAGGGAGGAAATAACATTTCCATATGGCATAAAGTGAGGACAATTTGGTTTTGCAATTTTTCCATGTCTTCAATTTTCAATACCTTGGCACATAATTGTCTAAAGAATGAGCACAACTCAATCAATACTGCTGAAACCTCATGAGGTAATGTTGTGCGAATGGCTAATGGTAAAAGTTGTTCCATTAATATATGACAATCATGACTCTTCATCATTCCATTCACCTTGAGATTTACTAAGTCAATGCATCTAGAAATGTTGCTTGAATAACCATCAGGCACCCTAATATTCTTTAAAGTCATTAAAAAATTCCTTTTATTTTTACCTGTTAAACTAAAGGCAGCCGGAGAAATTTTACCATTTTCATCAGGCCAAAGATCAGGTCTTATGCCCATATTTTGAAGGTCTTCTCGAGCTTTATAATGGTCTTTACTCTTTTGCCTATCATTCAGTAGAGTAAATAGGACATTATCGCACACATTTTTCTCAATATGCATCGGATCAAGATTATGGCGTAGAAGATTATCTTTCCAATACGGAAGTTCAAAAAATATGCTTTTCTTTTTCCATTGTTGAGGATGACCTTTTGTAGGATCACATGTGTACTATCACCTTCTATAGGTTGTTCCTCACGTGTCCTTTTTACTGATTTTTCTTTCACTGCCTTTTTACCAAAGATGACTTCAACATCTTTAACCTTTTCAAAAACTTCATGTCCAGATAATGTTCTCGGTGGACTCCGCATTTCTTGTTCACCATTAAAGCGGATCTTGTTCAATCTAAACCTGTGTCTCCGATCAAGGAAACGACGATGACCCATAAAACACCATTTACGACTAGCTTTAAGACGGAGAGGTGTAGTTTGAAAGTTACACGATGGGCAAGCAAGTCTTGTGTATGTGTTCCACCCAGAAAGTGAACCCAACCCTGGAAAGTCACTAATATAGTCCACATCAAATTTGCATGCAACTTGAACATCTCTTTCTTGAAAGAATCGTATGTATCCACACCACTTGTCCATAACTCCTTCAGGTCTTTGATTAATGGTTATAAGTAGACATCAATATTATTTCCTGGTGCCTCTTTACCGGGAATTATCATTGACATTATAAATGATGTCTGCTTCATGCAAACCCATGGAGGAGTGTTATATGGTATGAGAACAACTGGCCAAATACTATTGTTTGTACTCATCACACCAAAAGGATTAAAACCATCACTAGCCAATGCAAGACGCACATTTCGTGGATCTGATGAAAACCAAGTATGTGTCAAGTCAAATTTCTTCCAAGCTTCTGAATCTCTAGGATGCCTCAACATTCCATCATTGTTAGTATCTGTTGCATGCCATCTCATATCCTCTGCCGTTTTTGATGACAAAAATAATCTCTGTAATCGAGGTTTTAATGGAAAATAACGAAGAACCTTGGCAGGAATTTTCTTTTTTTTCTTGTTAACAGAGACATCCTCATTTGTTTTCCATTTTGAAGTGTTGCAATTTTTGCAAGTCTCCCTCTCCTCATCTTCTCCCCAATAAAGCATACAACCGTTTGGACATGCGGGTATCTTTACATAATTCAAACCAAGTTTTGTGATTGATTTCTTGGCTTCATAGAATGAACTTGGAATGTTTGCATATTCAAATGCATCTTTTATTAACTCTAAAATCATTGTCATTGCCTTCTCACTCAATCCACATAAACACTTTATATGGTACAACTTAACCAAAAAAGATAGTCTTGAATATTGTCTACACCCTTCATATAAAGGTTGTTCTCCTTCTCTAGCCAACTCATAATACTCCTTGGCTTCGTTTCTTTCCTGAGTTGAGCTTGGCATCACATAATCTTCTTCTTCAATCTCCAAATTTGACGCAGATGGTATTTCATTTGCATGATTCCCATAAACTCCAAATGCATCGTTGATCATGTTCTGAATAGGTTCTTAGACAATGTTAGTATCTTCTACCATACTTGGAGTAGTACTAGGGGAGATAGTACTAGATCGTACAAAAGACTCTCCGTGATGGATCCACATGGTGTATCCCTGCGGAAATGGTGACCAACTTAAGTGGTCGAACATGTCACTCCTACTCTTTAATTTTCTGAAACCGCAACGTTTGCAAGGACATATTACTACGTCGTTTTCTTTTGCACCTTTAAATGCAAAATTAATAAATTCTTGTATCCCTTTTTGATATGCAATCGATGATTGTGGCTTAATAATCCATGACTTATCCATTTCTTCAAAAAAAAATATTATATTTTCAGAATTCTAGTACTTACGAGAACATGTTATTTTGAATATAAACAATAGAAAAATAAAAGAGATGAGTTTTATTATTGGTTGTTTAATTTGTTTTTACACACTACATAACAAGTTTATAGGTGAAGCCTTGTGATATCAATTAGTATAATACAGTTTCATGTAACAGACATATATGGATAAATACTCCATATCAATATGTTTACTACATTTAGCTAGGTACTTCAAGAATATTTACTTATGTTGTGTCAGTGTGCGAGTGCAACCTTAATATTGCTTTGTACTAGGATTTTAAAGTGCTTTTGCGGTCCCGTATGAATGCGATTGCAAACATTGCAATGTTGGTTATTACAATTGCTTATAAGAATAATGTATTTGTAAAGGCACACTCAAATTTAAGATAAAATTCTTATAAGATAAAATTCTTTAGTCTAACACTATTAAACAGTGATATAGTAAAGGCACACTCAAATTTAAGAATGAAATCATACCTCAAAGACGCATGAGGGTTTGAAGAGCAGTGAAGCAAGTGGAAGAGAAAAGTTACCTGCAACAAAAACCAAAGCAGCATATCAATAGTTGGTAGAAATCATAGATTACACACAGTAGGCATATATTACACACAGTAGGATTAAAATATATATTACACACAGTAGGCATAAAATATATATTACACACAGTAGGCATATATTACACACACTCTTCTCTTTCAAAACCAGCAGTAGGCATATATTACACACACTTTTTTGATTTCACCAATTTATATTAGTTTTGATCGAATGATAACTTTCAAATTTTCTTTCAGGCTTTTTAAACACGTTTAAGATGAAAAAAAACCGCTCATATAAGAACTTATATTCTGTATCTTTGCTTTTTATACTGTTGATTTAATAAAGGCCTATGACACATGATTCTTTTGTTCACCACAGAATAGGGAACTATTCTTTATGTTAAATTCTATATTTACTCTTTCTCTGAAGAGAACTTATTCTGAATATCCTTTTTCAGAGACCTCAGCAACAACAAATTAAGTGGACAAATCCCCACGGGCTTCGGGGGTCTATAGAACATCTTGTACTTGCTGTAAGAATTTTGCCGCTGCTTCATCTATCATAACTTAAAAATGTAGATGAAAGATACATTTTATTCTAGAAACTGGAAACTGAAATGTTTTTGTTCATTGCTTTCGTTAGTAGACTAAAATAAAAACTAGTGCCGCCAAAATCTTGTAAGATTCTGACAGATATTGTATATCTTTATGCAGAGATATGTCGTATAACAACTTCACTATAGCAAACTTTGAGCAGCAAACTTGTCAACAAGGAAGTGTGTAAGAGTCCTAGCACTGTGTTTTTTTCATTTTTCTTTTAACTTCATGGTTTTCTTGTTTTGTATTTTCATGAATCGACCTGATTCTCAGCCTATTTCCTTATGCCACAGAAACTATCAATGTCCTAAAAGTGAGTTTACTTTTCATGGATTTCCTATATCCTTCTATAGTACTGATTGATTCGTCTAGTAGTTGATAACCTATTTCTTCTTTTCCAAGCTTGGTACTCTCTCTACATAAACTGTGGTGGGAAGAGCATAACATATGATGGAAATGACATATGATGATGATTCAGCTGAGATGGAATCAGCAAGATATCGTCAAATTGGAACAAACTGGGCACTTATAACTGCTGGTCACTTTTTTGATAGTGGACGCTCTGACTACTACATATGGTCTAATGCAACAAAGCTTGTCGTCGACAATGGTACTGAACTGTACATGGATGCACGTGTTTCTCCAAATTCTCTTACTTATTATGCATTCTGCATTGGAAATGGAAACTACACTGTGAATCTCCATTTTGCTGAAATAATGTTCAGTGATGATAAAACATTTAGCAGCATTGGAAGACGTGTATTTGACATCTACATCCAGGTGCATGTTTTTTCATTTTATTTTTACCACATGTACTAATCACATGATATGAACCAATTTTTCTTAAAACTAAATTAGAAAAAATAAAATTCAATTCATTCGATACTGTGCATTTGAAGAATTTATATATGGCAGAGAAATTTGGTGTTGAAGGATTTCGATATTGCAAAAGAGGCAGGTGGTGTCGGCAAGGCAGTGATTAAAACTTTTACTGCTGGTGTGACTAGAAATGCATTGGAGATTCGCTTAGGTTGGGTTGGGAAAGGAACAACTACTATCCCATTTGGATCAGTATATGGTCCTCTTATATCAGTTTTATGCCTAAAACAACAAATTAGAAAACCTAAAAAATCATAAAAAGAAATAAAACCCTAAAACAACAAATTAGAAAACCCAACATCAATTCAATATATTCAAACTCAAAATCAATCATCACAAAGAGCTCAACCATAAGATTCAAGTGAATCTCCAATGCTGAAATCAATGGCAGAGAATGAGAGAGATGAGAACAATGCAAAAAGTGATACATAAAACTTACTGTGTTTGAAGAGATGAACGCAGAGGATGTTAAACTGCTTGCTGTGCGTTTTTTGGTGTGAAGATGAGCGGTTTGAAGAGATTCCTTTCGGTGTCAAGGGGTTTCTTTCGGTGTGAAGAAGAACGGCATGAACGACACCGTGAGTAGAAAAAGTGAACGCAGGAGTAGAAAGTGAATTGATGTTTTATGTATTTTAAGAGCTTTTTAACTTTTTTACGGCGACGGGTGTTTTACCGTCGTGCCCATGAGAATTTTTAAAGGTTTTGGGTGCGACGGTTGTTTTACCATCGTGAAATGGATTTTAGGACGGATAATTTTACCGTCGTGAAAGGTTTAAGGGTGCGACGGGTGCTTTACCGTCGTGATATGCCTTTTAGGACGGTTAATTTTACCGTCGTGACTAGTTGTTGGTGAAAAATCAATGTTAAAAGTGTTAAATGGGGGCCGACGGTTATTTTACCGTCGTAATAATAATATTATGATGGTTAATTATACCATCGCAAAATAAATATTAGGGACGGTTGGTGTCAACTGTCGTAAACACTGTCTCTATATGTCAATTACGACAGTTATCACATAACTGTCGCAATTTTTGTGTCGTTAAACACTAATTTTCTTGTAGTGTCACCATGAACTGTTATGATCTTACCCTGGACTGGGTATTTGAGCATCTGGTGTAGAGAAGAAGTGACTGCCCCAGCATTGTGGATCCATGGCCTTCCCAACAAGCATGAATATGAAGGACGGATGTCCATCACGTAAAATGTAGAGTTGAAAAATTTTGTTCCCACCTTGATTGGGATGTCCAATTCTCCGTGAACCATCCGCTTAGAACCGTCGAAGGCTCTAACAATGATATTACTGGGCTTTAGGGTCAAACCTTCATAGTCCAATCTGTCCAATGCTTTCTTTGGTAGAACATTTAAAGATAAACCGGTATCAACCAGAACATGAGCAAGTGTCGTTCCTCTGCACTCTACCGAAACATGCAGTGCATCATTATGCTTTCTTCCCTTAGGGGTTAAATCAGCATCAGAGAAGCCAAGACCATTGTCGGCTGTAAGGCTAGCCACACACTCTTGAAACTGATCTACAGAAGTTTCTTGAGGCACGGGTGCCGTCTTTAAAAATTTGATCAAGGCTTTGGCATGAGCCTCGGAGCAGAGTAAGAGAGCCAGCATGGAGATTTTTGAAGGAGTTTGCCCTAGCTGCTCTACGACATCATAGTCGCTCTTCTTAATTATCTTTAAGATTTCCTCCATCTCCTTTTGGGTGGTCTCGGGGATAATCAAAGTCTGAGCCTTCGTCCTGACAGGCGCCTCTTGGATCCCCTTACCTTTATCGGCGGTAACAGCAGATGGTTCAACTTAGGGAGTTACAATTTCTTCAATTACTAGACTTTGCACAGATATCTTGACAGGCACAAAAGCACTTGAGGGTCCGAAGACTGCCCGTGGAGGAGCAATCTCCGGAGAGAAGATTCTTCCACTACGAGTTATCTTACTTGTTCCCGCAATATTCCCTATGTCGGGAGTTTCTTCATCGGAATTCTCTTCGACTGATTCGATCTGCTTGACACCATGGTAGAAGATCTCTCCTCCATAATTCCATGGTATCGTCTTGTTGGAATTATATGGGATAGGCCCCGTCATGGTAATCTTCAGCGGTACAAACTTAGGATCAAGCGTAATCTTAACAGACCTTTTGCAGGTCTTGGAAAGATTGTCGGAAATGGTGATTATAGCAATGTCATTGATTGGAGTAACAAAGGTAACAGGGGTAACATGAGTGATAGTAGCAACAGGAGTTTTCTGAAAGAGGATCTCTTGAGTATCCATCAGGCGTTGGATGCCTGATTTCAACAGTGGGCAGTCGGTTTTCCTGGTTGAACAGAAGTAACAATCTTTTTCACATCCCGAAAAAATCTCGGCTTTCAATAGATTCATTTTAATCATTGGCAACAGAGTCATTAATTCATTAACAACAGTAACATGAAGATCTTCCACAATTGCATGGACATTATGACCATGTTTCGGCATAGGAGCGAATATCACATTAGGTTTTTCGGGAGCATCAAACTCTACTTCCTTGGCATCTATCAAATCTTGGATCTTGTTTTTAAGAGCCCAACAGTTGTTGGTATCATGCCCTACACTGTCCGAATGGTATGCACATTTTGCATTTGAATGATAATAGGGAGAAGAGGTATTTAGGTTTTTCAGCGCTTCTTTCAAGTTGGTAAGGTTTAACTTTAATAGATGAGGGAGGACCTGAGCTGGTGTCATATTGATCCGGGTGAATTGTCGTTGTGGCCTTTCTACCCTTTGCTGGTTAGTTCTTGGTTGATTGCTTTGAGGTTGATCGGTTGAGGAGTTCTGGATCATTACAGCCCCCACCGCTGGTCGGCGCTCCATTCTCCCTTGATTTCTCTGGGTATGAATAGCAGAAACTTCCTTCTTGGCTGGGAAGATCTTCTTGATAGCAGTGGAAGCGGAAGCATCCTTCTGAATT